ACTTTGTTGATTACCAATCCAGGTAAATGCTAATGAAGAAGCATTTAATAATTCCATGACGAGATCACGTAAATTCGAACGATTATACTACAGCTATAGGTACACCGTATACAGATGCTAGTATCAGCTGTTTATCTTTGGCAACAAGTGCTATTTTAGGTAATGAGTACTGCAACGTAGACCCTTTTTCATCTGAACGTCTTTAAAAATAGAAATAAGGTGGTCTACTTGATGCTATTAACTGCTTCTGTCACGTATTTGTCACGTATTTGGTCACGTACCGAATCAATGCGAGACATATTCGACAAGCAAAAGTTAAATATCGTCAATTGAGAATTGTCATAAAGCTAAACGGGCTAAGTAAACGAGTTCCGTTTGCATCAGTTAAGTAATTGACTTCTACATCGTTTCCAATGGGCGCCCCTTGGGATCCATATTTATTTTTCAAAAGACCACCAGCCTCGTTCTCTGACAAATTGTTTAACTGATACGGATTTACGCCTTAACTATACAGTATGAATTAACCACAAATCACCAGTTCGCGATTTACGTATAATCGCGTTGAAATTTTGAGGTTTTCTCGCTACATGTACTTATCAATTATTTTCTCATTTCTTACAAGGAGATTCTTTCTTTTTCTTAATGGATGATATGCAGTAAAATAACATTTTTTTATAGTTCGCGACTGAAATATACTTTTACAAGTGTCCTTTCTGTACAAATGATTTTGGTTAATTGTTACATATTCTATGAGTGTTTAATATTTCGAAATAGAAGTGTAGGTTAAAGGTAATCTAATACAAACGGAGAACTGTATGAAAGTTTACATTCACGAGAAATACAAGCGAAATCTGTAAGCAAAGGAATAAGGAAATAGCGAAGCAATGCCTGCTACAATAAAAACAATTTCACCTGAAACAATGTCGAACAAGAAGCTGCATTTCATCAGCGCATTAACGTACAATATAAGGAACGCGCCGTAACCCTTTGTGGGACATGCACTCGGCACCCTACGCGGCACCCTACGCAAAACAGAAAGGTGGAATAGGAGAACGGAAATATGATATAATGAGATGCGAATGTGTTCTAACACAGCGGTTTTTCACGCAGTTGTGAAGCGTTAACACCAGGGCCATTGGCCACAATCGATATCCACCAGTGTTCCCTTGAACAAAACTCTTAAAAAATCTTGAACCGATTTACCCTGACCATCGAATTCTAAGTTTGACTCTCGGAAAAATCAATCTACGATTTCCTTCCAAAATGAAAAATGAGAAAAAAAGTTTGACTCTCGGAAAAATCAATCTACGATTTTCTTCCAAAATGAAAAATGAGAAAAAATACAACTGAAAAAAAGGAGAAATACCTGAACGAAACATAATGTTTTGAAACGAGACTCGATTCCAGAGCTTCGCGCTTTGTTACTGGCACCGATTACACGGAATGAAGTTCAACGATACGAAGAGCTCGAACGTGAGGTCGAAACGAGCCGTGCATGGTTAATGATACACGGCCAACGAAATTGTTAATTCCCGTTCGTAGAACGAAAAATAACGGGCCGAAAAATTTCAACGAGACGAGGAAGCCTCGCGGGATATACAGAAGGGACTTCGCCCATCAGTTCGGGTCATCGTGTTAAATTCCATTTTATGGCGGATTCTTTGTCGAGATTCAGGGTACGAGGTACAATTTTCTTTTGTCGAGTGTAATTTGTCGGAGGTCCACCTAACCATTTAAGAGATGGCACGTGGCTTTAAGATTGAGCGCTGAAAGGATTGCTTTAATGTAGTATGTCTGACAATAAGTGCTACATACTATCTATAGTATAATAAATACTGTCTGTCGTTAACCATTCTTTAACTATTTATTCATTTACATCGATGGGGCAGGAAGCAATTTTCACGTTATCGTACTAATAGTTCAAACTGTATTTTTCGAAATAATACACTGTCAATTTAACCATGCACTTTAACAATTTATTCATTTACATCGATGACAAAATGCGTCGCTAACTGGACTCTGTATTATTTCGAAAAATACGGTTTGAACTATTAGTACGATAACGTGAAAACTGTTTCCTGTGTTACTTTTATCGATAAATTTACAAATATACTTACAACCTTTTTGTCGATTTGTATTTCTTTAACTTCAAAATATTTCGCAGATTAATACTCAGATGTAATATGTACAAGATTCATGATCGCGCTATATTAATCCTTCCCATTAATGCATAATGATAAATATCATACAAAATATATCAAATGTAATTAATGCAATTAATGCACAGTAACAAATACACGAAAGGTGACTAAAGAAATAATTACGTCTGTACGTTAACAAAGATATCCTCAGAGCTAATATATATTACGTCACCACCGATCTTTACAAATTCCACAGGGAGGAGTCTCGACAATCGACAATGAACACGGAAATACATGTGTTGGCGTATGTAACAATTACCCTGCAATTTAAATACGCGGCGTTCCGTTTAAAGAGGATCGTTCCAGAACGGTGTTTCGTTGTACATGAACCCTCAAGCTGTGTCGATTAGCACGTGATGCACAGTGAATGGAAAACCCCGCATAAAGGGAAACGATCGTAAGAAAAAATGCGCACGACTGCTCTGCCCCGGTGCTCACCTCGCATCGTTCAATGATAAGGTTACCTATAGACGTACACGGGGGAGAAACGAAGAAAAGAAGAAAGAGGAAGAGAGAGCTTTGAATAACTAAAGTGAGAGTTAACAAGAATCTGCATCGACCATCCTGTGTTAGTGAAACGAGCGGTTTCATGATTATTTCACGAACGTTTTTCCCGGCGCCCTTCTGTTAAAGAAACGCGGGAAAAAGTTTGCATAATGAAAAGATGCATTTCCCGTAGAGGTTCCTTCGTCGACAAAGAAGCGAAAATTCGCGAATTCCGACAAATTTTCTTCGACCGAATTTCTTGACCGTGAAGAGGAAACGTTGAAACGAGCTCTATAATTATAACAGAAAACTTGAGGCTTCTACGCGCGGTTTCTGTGTCGATATCTCTTTAATTATATCGCGTTGCAGTTTAACGCGGCAGGATTAATGAACTCGTTACGGCCGCTTCTTCCTCCGAATAGAAAATCAATTTCGAAGTTGGGTTCTATTACCGTGTTCCGATATCATCCAACTTCCTTTGCCAGTGAGGGAAAAAATAAAAATTCCTACACGATACGAAGGTCGAAAACGGAAACATATGAAAATTAATTTTGCAGAATCATTTGTGTTGTTTATAATTTTGCACTTTCTCTATTTCTCATTACGTATTGAGACAAAACAACGGCAGAAAGGAAATCATCCTACTCGAATTTCATATAAAACATAGTAATTTATAATATGAACATTACTAAAATGAAACATATTATTCTGTAAATTTTGTCTTCACAGTTGTCAAAATACTAATACTAACGAAATAAAAATTACTTAGAATTAGTTTATTTCAAATCTTCAAAAAATATAGAGTGATAAACTTATTGAATTCTTGAGGTTAGAAAATTCTTTTTACTATATTCACTTAAACTGACTTCATTTTACTAATGATTTGAAAATCAGTCTGGAGAAAAAATATTCTTCTACATCATGTGCGTATGTTTGGGAAAGTTCAACTATGTACGATACAGGAGCCTTAAAAGTCAAAGAAAAAGCAGATAAAAATAACCTCCTTTTACAAAATGTCCTTCGTTGCAATACATTAACTTTTATATCGCGGATACCAACTATATTTCAATTTAATCTGGATTTTCATAATCAGAGCCACAATATAAACCATTATTGTCTATTCAAGCGAAGTATGCATATATATACATATACATATTCTCACTATTGACAAATGTAACTAGCAAACTCTATTTACTCGAAAATCCTCGATACACGAAACAAGAATCGACAGAACTCTCAAAATAGCGCACGTGAATCGAAACTGCTATAAAACGAAATTAATATTCGCCATATTTCAAACATGTTTTTTGTTCTATTTCCGAAACCTATCAAATTAGATTGCCTTGGTAGAATCAGGCCGCGAGAGCGGTGACAGCATCGCTGTTTCCATCGTGAAACAGAGAAACGAAAGCGCCACCACGACATGCTGAACAGAGAGAACTAATCGGACCGGTAGACTGCAGCAACGTTTAAAAATAGCTGCGAAAAGGGACGTGTCGTGAAACTTTGTGGAACGATGACATGGCGATCGAATAGGAAACACGGAATAAACTGTGCCAAGGATACGCTCGGGGCAATTTGAAGTGCCAGAATTTTCTCTCGATCTCAATGCATTTTACCGCGTAGTATATAATTCGTGAATGTGGGAGTAAACGCTATTTTAGAACGCCCGACGCGTTTACACAGGCGCGAATCGTAACGCATAACGTACCTTTTCGAACGCTTGTCGTAACGAACGTAACGGAAACAGTTGGCTGAGTGTGTATGTATGTTAGGGGGAAGGAAACAGCGATATTCCGTTTGTGTGGTACGGTGCCAACCGCTCGACGAGATAGCGCACGTGGCCACACATCGCGTATACATAGACACTTACAAAAAAACATCGAGCACGGGACAGCGAACGTCTCTCGCGGGACCCCGCAAAAACTAGCGGCGCAACCAGAAACAATTTCTTATCGTGCAACCCCATTGGCCACCTGCGATCGTTCTACCAGATAGCGCGGAGTGTGACATTGGACATGGTATATAAATAACGGCGTTGGTATTGTTGTTATTGAACAACATAGTTTGACGACAGTTCGACGCTGTCCTTGCGCCATCGATACAATAAAAACGTGTAGCTTGACGACTATTTTCGGATAGACGGGTCAAGTTCGACATCGAAACTCTTCGATACTTCGTCTAATGAAAGGGTTACCGAGAATCGAACGACTCGCGACAATGGTCCCCGCTTAAGGACGCACTCGAGATATTAACGGTACGATACACGTGTCTACCGATCGTACTTAGTGAATAATAACTATGCACACTAACCTTGAACGTATCCCAGCAGAAAGAGGCTGCAGAGGATCCAGATTCGTATCATTGTATTCATGGTCCGCTGGCACTTGACACTTTACTCGCGGCAGGATACACCTCTTCGTCACTAACTGATCTCCGTTCGTATCACGACCACATTCACACACCTTGTTGTCGGCACACGGCAACTCGCGTTCACGATTCTCTTACCGCCGGAAATGGGATACTGGCCGCGATATAGACTTGGATATATCGGAAGGAAGTAAACGCAACGTGCGTTAAAACTACACGATTCACGGGACAAAGCGTACCGGTACGTACCTTCCGCAAGGACGAACGAAAGCAAACTGAGCCACTGTTCCCTATCCGAGTTCGTATCCGCCGGACTCCCTCCCTGCAGCCCGCGACCGCCGCCAGCGCCCTCCTCCTGACACTCCATATACCCGAGGCGCTCCCCTCCACCTCCGCGAGTCCCGCTCGACACTCTCACCCTCTCTTGGCCCTCTCTCACCCGAAACCCCACCTGACGCTTCCGACAACCCGTTTGCATCGTCTTCCTCGCTCATTTTTCCATCGGCTACGATCGTTCTACCTCTTTTCTGTTTCCTGCGACCCCTCAACCCCTTTTTTTAACCGACCTTATCGAGCACCGCCGATGCGCCCGGCCGATGTCATAAGCCCCTTCCCGTGGCCGCTTATTCCTATGTGTCAATTTATCGCGCTTTTTAGATTATCGCGCTATGCGGATCACTCTCTCGTTTGCCTCATTCTCTGTCCTTCTTTCTATCGTAGGTCGCGCCTGTGCCAGTTATCTCCGTCGCCTCATTGCCGCGAAAGGGCCCACCTTCCATCGCATCGCTTCGAACTGGGTTAATACACGGGAAACGATTGTTTGTAGCGCTAACCCGCCGATACCAACGGTTCTAGGTTGCGCATCGCGCAATTTCATATCGATACCTCCGAGTTTCCACTAATTCTCCGATTTTATGAAAGGAACTGCGCGACACTCGATCGCGATACCTTACGGTATAATTACTATGTTAAGGCAGACGATAATGGATCCGTTGAATTCGCACAGTTTCGCGGTTACTTGCGATTGTCTCGGCTAATTTACGAGGGTTTCTAATTGTCTGCTTTTGTGAAAGTGGTGAAGGATGACAGTGGTTTTTATTACTTAGTAATTGCTGTATTGTAATTTATTTAGCGTAACTTTATTTGACATATATGATTCTATATGATGCTGGATATGATTATTAATACCTTTAACTTTGCCAAATAAGACGATGCAAATGTTTCTTTTCTTTTTTACGTTCTTTCTCTTCTCCAAAGCTCATCTGTAATTATCGATTAGTTGTCAATATTTAACCCATAATCGATATGAAGGGTGTTCTATAAGCTCATTATATTCTACTTTAAAAGATGCTTCATTTAAGTAAAGTCTTATTTATCCTCCAGTCTTTCGCTTTTATCTATTCTTTATAATCTTTTCGGTATAAAAATCGATAATGGTTAAAGCATATTTAACGTTACACGTTAAAAACTCATTTATGACATATGCAGTACGTTTCTCTTTTCCGCGAAAGAAAAGTTTATTGTTTGAATTCCACGAAAATTGTATTCAATCCGCGAAGCTTTCACGATGTAGTCAATAGTACAATGTGTGGAGTGCAGTTATTCCAATTTGTCAGCTGATCGACCCCTTCAGATACCATAAATTTCTGATTATTGATGCACAAATGTATTCAATGTTTAATTTATTTCCAATGCTATCACCAAAAGTAAACTACGAAGAATGGTAATTCCGCAACGTATGATCTATTTCGCACGAGAATTTAAAAACTGAACACAAATAAATCAAAATTAAAAATATTTTATAAAATCTTATCTTGTCCTCAACAGTATATAACTTTCCGACTATAATATATTTATATTCGTTCGATTTCAAAATTTCAAAATTTATCATTGCATCTTTGCCTTCGTGTTCTTCTTTTTTTAATAAAAAAAGGCGCAAATATATTATACTTTTGAATGTTCACGTCAAATAACGCCTATTATGTTTTCAAAATTAACCTCCAGACAACTGTTGATTGGCCTATAGTCATCGAAACTATCCTTGATTTTTATCGGGACGATATCGACGAAACTCCATTGTTTCTAAAATATATTCGCGCTCGGCTATAGAGCAGACACACGCTAGAGGAACAGGATACCTACGAAGTGCACAAAATAATATAGATATCCTTCACAGTTTGTACCAGTTAGATACATTGTATTTTTGCAGAGCAGCCACTTCTCTGTCATTTTGTTCGAGTACTATTTCGTTGTTAAAGGGTCTTTAATATAGCGTCGATTTTAACCCACGCTACGACCATTTCGGGATTGTAAAACCAGCGAATTCCACGGTTAGACCATTCGCGCGCATCCATTACCGGTTCGTTGATACTTTCTACAATTTACGAACGGTATTTTCATCCCATTCAGGGTCAATGCGCGCAGGTTACATTCTTCTTTTATCTTCATTCGTTTCTATTCATGCGGTTTGACAATATCGAAATAATCGTGGCAGTCTATAGACGTAACGTCGGAACGTTCTATTCTATATAGGAAAATGACGGTGCACTATGTACGATGGGATCGACGACGATTCCGCTTAAATTTCAAGATCCTCTCGGTGACAAGCTTTCAAGAGCGTCTCGCTTCGAATGAAAAGCGGAATACTTAAAAATAAAGAATTTGGAGAACCCGATTGTCGACGCAAGAACGGTATTGACGAATTTGTCATTCTCGTTCAATGCTCGGGGTATTTCCTACGCGAATCCTGACGCTGACAGCTCTTTACCGCTTCTCGCGGATTCGTCCCCGCTCGTTCTTGCTTATTTTTCCTTTTCATCAAAACGATCCCGCTTCTTTCATGCCTCCCACCGAATTCTTTCTACTTCATAACGCGTTTAATCGAAATCGCGGCACGCGTATCGTGTCGGTGCTTCTGTTTCCTCGCGTCGCCACTTTATATTATCCCGCATACGTTATGTACGGTACTTTGAATCGTTATCCCTACGGTATGTAGGAAAATATTAAATTATTTCAAGTGATTACAAAGGGAATGAGATCGTCTTTTATCGAGAAAAATATATATGTCCATCGTTCTAAATAAAATGTTTACTTTTTGGAGCATTTTATTCCTAGATATAGCCCAAGTCTGTCTTTCCTTATGTCAGATTTATTGAATTTTCTGTACGATTTCCACAAACCAATAAATGACATAACAAGCATAAAATTCCCAGCTTTCCGATCTTCGTTCGTGTATATTTAATAAGTCAATATGAGAATCGACATCTAGAATTTAATTTATACATAATATCTATATCATTACATTGAATCAAAAGTATTATCTGTCCATCGAGTATTCGATCAATCTCGGTTGTATAGCTTTTTTATTTACTTAAAAATCGAATTGTGAATCGACAAGCTTTCCGGATAATCCAATACTTTCAACGAAAACCAATTTGTACGAATCGTGTTTCCTTGAAACAACGTTATTTACCTGATCGTATACAGAGTTTTAAAAATAATATCGAAATGATATCGAAAACTATATATATACTGTGACGTCTAAAGATCACATGACTCTCAGAGAAAGTCAGTCGCAAAAGAATAAAGCAGATTTACAAAACATGTCCCCCCAAGCTGAAGAAAACAGTGGTGAAGGGTGGCTACAAGCTCGACCGCTTGACATTTAAGCTTTGACGCTGGCTGATACCCTACGTCTGAGAGTATAGCCGCCTTTAAAGGCTATTTATTTCCGATCTCCCGCGTTCACTATCTTTTATACCTCCCGGGAATGATATTCACCCGGGCGAATTGATCTACGGTAAAGGTTACAAATGGTCGAAACGGGAAGACGATCGGTATGCACGATATTTTACTTCCGCGCCACGTCCGTTGATCATTGTTAGTGAAGTCTTATCGTGAGCCATTGCCTTCGCGAACTCGGGACGCAATAGCGTTCGACTGACAAAAGTCGATAAATAAGAGTATGCTTTTCATTTGCATTATATTAACCCTGGCGCGTGAACGTCGATTCCATTTTCCACGGTGCCAAGTCAATTTCATGCCGGGAACGTACTTGTCCGTGTGTCAATCCTAATGGTTAGTCGCGTGTCGCTCGTTACATGATTACAATTTATCCGGATGGGACGAATACTTCATTGGTGGATAAGTTGAAGAGCCAATTTCAGGTCTGTTGTTTTGTACCGTCTGATTTTAAACAATGATCCTGATCCACGATGGATATTCATGCGTTATTTTTTATGAAAATCCTGTCTCTGTGACGAACTGTCTTTCACAGCAGCGAATTGGAGTGAGTTTTTACAGCACGTTGAAACGTATGACCGACAGTTCCGGATTTCTTTAGGCAATTACGACGTTTCAATGAGACAATTTGTTCGCTACCTTTCTTCCAAAACGTCAAGAAGCGAGTTTTGTGGGTTAACGGAAAGTTGGAACAATTAAAAGTTTAACTTTCTAACCGTAATCATAGTATTACATGAGTCCCGGTTGTGCTTCCGCGAGAATAATGCTCTGCCGCGCGGTTTTATATTTTATAATATATTTTTCTTCCCTTTTTCGCTACTAAAGTTTCAATAAATGTGAATAGAAGGCTGCAGAAAAGATATGAATGAACATAATAGAAACAGGAAATAGTAACTTTGCAAACAGGGGTCCAAGCAAACTTTATGCGTTCTCTTTATAATTTTACCAAATGCAGTTCAACTCTATGTTGACAATTGTCACTGGCATCCATTCTTCTAAAAAACCTTTGTACGAACTTGTCGCTTTTATTTGACCTCCCTTTTACTTCAAGTACTATTACGGTGTAATTTAAACAGGGGCTCGATCTTTAAAATTTAAAGGTTGCCTAAATGTCAGAATTTCATGAAGAACGACAACGTGAATCCAACGAATCGGTATCTTCGTCTATAACGATTTCCCTGTCTCGAGCTTTTCGTGCGTTGTGTGATTTCGTTTTTGCGCGCACCTTGTCCGACCAAACTTCGTCTATTAAAATAAATGTTTTGAATGCATAACGAGTAAACAGTTGAAACGAGGGATGACGATCGCGTGCCGATTCGTTGGTAATGAAATCAATTGTTAGGACAGCCCGTGTGTCGCGTGCTTCCGTCCGCGGCGTCGATATTTCAACGATGCTCGAAACAATGAAGTGTGTTTTACCGAAGTTAAGCTCACAATAGCTGACGAAATCAGCTCATTGTTCGGCCGGGGGAGGTTCGTTAGCAAATACGCAGTGTCGATATTTCTGAAACAAATCAACGGAGGTCTCGAGCCCACGCGTCCAGTAACGAACATT